GGTTGAAAAATAGAAATAATGGCTTGCGATAGAGAGCAGATGAAGTGAAATTTTAAGATGGACATAGCTGAGAATTGAGTTGATTATAAACTTACGGTTGAGAAAGAAGCAGTGAGACGCAATCGGAGATGGAGACAGATACATGGATTCCGGCATCGCCATGAAATCAAGCTTTGATGAAAATGGCTATGAAATCAAGCTTCGATGAAATCCTAGAGAGAAGCCTAATCGAACGTTCAGTGAAGAAAATAATCGGATGAGATTAGGTATGTGAGGAACTGTAGTTGTATTACCAAATATAAAATAATACCTAAAAGACTAATAATCCCTCAATTGCCCATTCTAATTGAAATGGAAGACACGGACGATCAATCTATAATAGAGGGCTGAGATTAAGTTAGTAGGTTAGCATATTAAGATGGATTTGCACTTGATCTCTAATCTATATATATATATATATATATATATATTTACGATCATGTGAGATTTTAATCTTAGGAGAGTAAAAAAGAATCAATAGGAACCCTTAGATCTGATTTTTTATTTAGTTTATTATTTAATTCGGGGGTGTTGGGGTCTTTTTCACTTCTTTCCATCCATGTTCCCTAACCTTCTGCCACTCAATCGGTTAATTGATTGTAACGTAACAACTTTCCCAAAAACCTCTTTCAGCATTCTTCATCTCTTGTTCCGCAATAGCTACTTCGTTCATCTTTGCAGATCATGTCTCTCATTCATCTTCATCGGTCGTCTCTCTTCGAGTTCTCTTTTAAATTTCTCGTTTTTATCGGTCATTGATCCCTTGTCTCTACTCCGTCTCTCCTCCACGAATTATTGTAAGTATATTTTAATCTCATTCAGTTTTCAATTCTAAATTATATCGTCATCTGCACTTGGATGGCTTTTTGTTTATTTAGTATGAATTTTTATTCAATATTCTCGATTAAGTATTTTCCATGTAATTAATTGATCTTACATATAAATCTAGTTATTAATAATTTACTTTTTAGATTTGATTGTTCTATTCTTCTATGCCTAGTGGTGCAATTTGTGTACCGTGATGCATCTGTATTCGTGATTATGTTGTTTGAGTGGTTTTCTCTTATTGTGTTGCTAATTCAATGACATACTAGTGCACTTGTACTTTGAATTTCATGCATTGCGTTTGGTATTTGCTTCACTTTTTGATGACTACTTTTCTTCATTGAATAACTTAATCTTATATCTTACTACGTATATCATTTCGATGCAATTATATATGATTATTATTGCACTTATCGTACTTTGGTAATGGACTTTCATTAGTTTTATTTTTTTTGTGTATTTTTTTGTGGATGCGATGCAGTGTCAATGGAACAATTATGATCCGTTATATTTGAGAGAGCTGAGAAAATGTGTTGGATTCTGTAAAAAAGTCAACGTAAAATAGCATAAAATTTGATGTAATAGTGTATATAGGGGTGAGTTCAAGTAAAATGTAGTCTTCCCACAAAAAGTGAGAATAAATCTTGACCTTCCATCACTTGAAAATGGATGGATTAGATGAACTTTATACACAAGAGACAATTTCAAAAAATGTGCACACGTTTATACTATAAAGTGGATAGTTACTGATTAAAAGTGCACTCATGTGTGTAAAAAAAGACTTTCAAAATATTCCAGCTTGTGCACTTTTATTTTGTACCGTATTGCACTTTTGTTCTCTATATGTGCACTTTATGACTATTCTAGTGCACATTTGTTACAAATTTTTTAATAAAAGTTCTTCATAACTACAAAAATGCCACTGCATTTTCAACTTAAAAATTGATCTTTTTCATCCATTTTTCACACCAATGGCAAAAATTAGTTCTTATTTTTCACCTAGGAAGTACTATTTATTTGAACCAAACTCATAGTGCAGTTCTGTAATATTTCAAATGCACATTATGAAAGTGCATTTCATTTTTTAAAACGTAATGCATCTACATTTGTGAACAGTGCGACATTATGCGGATTATTGTGTAAATTATTATATTCATTGTAATTTTATTTATCTAGTATGCAGATGATAGGCAAGGAAAATTTGAAAATGGGTTAGAGCATGCGAATCTACAATCAGAGGATATTAATGGCGTACCACAAAAGTGAAACAAGTGCATTGAATTTTGAACAAAAATGTGAATGTAAATTTGTACCAGTATAAGAGAAGCAATGAAAGTGCATATCATTTTGCTAAAAATGTCAATGTAAAAATTGAGAGTGTGATATAGTACTGAACATTTGTTTGTATTTAGAATGCACATGACAAAAGTGTGTTTCATTTTGTCTGAAAAGTGCAATTAATAAACTATTACTACCCCCGTCCCTCTAAGTTTGGGACAAGAGAAGGTGACACGGTTATTAATAAAAGTGAGTTTATGTGGTTGATATTGAATTGATAAAGTAAGAATAAGTAAGAATGATTTAGAATGAGACCATCTTAGTGGGACTGACCGAAAATGTAGAATGAGACAATCATAGTGGGACAGAGAGAGTATATGATAGTGCACTTTTGTATTTATTTCAAATGCACATGATTATTGTTAAGTCATGTGCTTATATCTTTATTTTTCATTTCATTGAAAATCATATTGATTAAAAAATGTATAAAAGTGAAAATCTACATGTGTAAAGTGCAGGATAACATTATAAAAAGTGCAGACCGATCATATAAAAATGTGTGATTTGTAAAAGTGAAAATTATTTGATAAAGAATTGGTTTATCTTCACATTGTTAAGTTCTATTCGTGAGTGGTCCTGATGATTTAGATTACTATATGTGTAACAAATTCAAATATTTAATTAAATTCATGTTGCATGCAACATAAGTTTGAGTAAAAAGTGCATATATTCGATTGTTAAGTGCAATATTTATTGATTGAATATTGCATCCAAAAAGAAATAGGTGAATCATGAAAAATAATTTTGAATTGCGTACATTTTTTGTTAAATTGGGTATCTAAATTATGTGAGAGAATAATAAACTTGGAAAGAAGATTAAATTATAAGAACTATTTATTAGAGTAATTGGGAGTTACAAATCCTTATTAATGATTAGCCTAATTTTTAGGAAGTAGTCTTCCTATAATGGTGTACGTGCAAGATTACAACTTGGATTACTTTTACCATTATGCCCTTTAACCAAATGTTAAAATGCACGTTACCTTATATACTACTCAAATCATCCGAAAATAATGCACCATTTTCTCCTTTTTTAAATATTTCTAGACCATCGGATTAGAATTATTAAAGGTTAGTCAATGGTTGGATTTGAATCATTTTTCCTCTCCTAAGACGGTGTTCTCTAGGGGTGGGCGCGGTCCTGTCCGGTCCAATATTTGGCCGAACCCGTACCCGTACCGTTACTATTCAAATGGTTCGGTTTGGCTCGGTCTTAGACCTAAACCCGTTCGGTACAATTTCATTTTGAAACGGGACGGTACCATGCCATACCAATACCAAAGAATGCCACTTTTTCCAAGTGGTTAAGAGACAATTAAAGTTTAGTCGTCCTCCAAAAATCTTCACAATTTATCAATTTTCATACTCATTCCATCCCAAATTGACAGGCAAAATCAATATTTTTTCGTCAACCAATGTTAGAGTTAAATTCTCTTCATTGATAATTAATTCAATTTGTAATAATTAAAATAAACACATTCAGAAACTACATTGAAATTTCTTCAAAGTTGCAAGCTCCAAATTAAATATAATTAAAAATTGACATTCTAGTTAAGTGAATAAAATGAATTTGTTTGACAAAAAAAGTTAATTTTTGCAAATCAATTTGCGACGAAGGTAGTATTACATAATTAATAAATTTCAGATAAAGTATAGTAGTACAAATTTAAATGATTAAACCATACATCGGTCCGATTCCAGACTTCCTATGAACTAGCAAAGACGGTGAAAATGTAAAAGCACTAGTCAAAATAATGGTATAAATGTAAATTTAAATAATTAAATCATACTTCGGTTCGGTCTGGTTTCGGTTCTCATTTTATGAGAACCGGTCATGGCATTGTTTAGAATCGGTACGGTTCGGTTCGGGACAAAAAAATTGAGATTCATTTCAAACCCCGTTTTTTCGGTCTGGTACCATATCTGCCGCCCCAGCAGCACCACCTCCAATCATTTGGGGAAAAATGCCAAATTTATTATGAATTCCATATTTTTGGCATAAGTCAGAATGATTTTAGATGGCAGAATAAAAATGTTGTCATTCTCAAAGTGAAATATGCCATGTTTTTGGCATTTTCAGAAAAAATGACAGTTTTTAGGAAATATGGCATTTTTTTAACGGTCGGAGGTGGTGGTGCAGGCAGGCTGTGACACCGCTCCCGAAGGTCCTTGAAAATTCGATTTAAAATTCAAAGTTTATGTATTGGATTTCTGATTTCCAAACATTTGTTAAACGATTAATGTTTTACGTAATTAATGACCGATTATTATACTGTTCGAACTCGTATATTAGTATCGGGCTGGCGAATACTCATTTTGGGCCCAACCTGCTAAAAATAGCAAGTATTCGAGAATGGCGTCCTGGATCCACTCGGGAGTGACCCACACGGCTAGTAGTCCAATAATATGTATGACAATGCCAAATAAGTGATAGAATGATTAAAGGGGAATACAAATGCCTATAACCCCATCTTTGGCATTATCGAGCTAAATAATGGGAGTAGGATTTTCCTCCTATAATATCCATCAAGTAAATTATTGAGATGAGCCTACACATATTGGAGACCAATAATGTGATGTAGGAAGTTGACTTGTTCTAAATAAATTAGGATGAGTACAAAAAGACATCTTTTGACAAAAGATAAAACAATAGGACCCATCTTCCCATTTTTTTTTTGGAAGTATTGGTAGATATTTTGGACCCCAAAATGATTGGGATCAATTGGGAACCACTCCACATGCCTTGGTAACATGATTGAGAGCTCTTGTATACTCCCACAACCCCCCATTCGACCCCCCAAAAGAGATAAGAGAGCAAAGGTATCCACACAACTCAAAAGGGAAGGAAGAAGGAGAGCAGTCCGCAGGTTTTTTCTTTAGTGCGAAGCTCTTACTGTTCGAGCCATAACTTGAGATTTACTAGTCCAATTAAGGCGTATAAGGTACCAAAAGAAAGCTCTCAAGACGAGGAATCCGTGGAGGTCTGGTTTGCATCAATCGGAGTAGTGGAAGGCTTCCAGATTGTCCGAACAAAACGCAACCTCGCAGAACACAGTTTTGTATTCAAAGTGAGTTTGAATCCAAAACCTTCCTTTTCATTTTCCAAATGATATGAACGATTGGTGGGACTATTATACACTACTAAAAGTGTATAATATGTCCTTATGAAGTTATTTTATTGATGTAAAGGTTAGGTACTAACCTAGAGCAAATCTTGGAAAACTAGGAAACGAGTTAACCGGAAAACACCCGTTCTAGGGACTGTTTTCGTGTCATTCGGTTAGGAGTGGAGCTGGCAGCTGGAGGAGGCTGTTTAACACTCATTTCTAAGCAAGGAATCAGTTCTAAATCAACCTTGACCAAAGCCTTGACCATTGGATCAAGAAGGAAAAGTTTAAAGCTCAATTAAGGTGAGGATTGACATCTAATTGCTTACAACTTGTAGGTTAAGCATGAGATTACCTAAATGCTTAAATCATGATTTTTCATGGATTATGATGATTATATATTGATGAAATATTGATATAGTTGCCAAGGAATGAAATTTGAAATGATTTGAGAAGGTATGAATAATATGAGATTAAATGAGTATAAATGAACTATTTTGTGAAAATGGGCATTTTGCTCATGTATGAATTATGTGGATACATAAATGAATATTTGTGTATTGAGATTGAATACTTAAGTTGCTGCTACATAATTATAAATATGTAGAGAATTACAAATAATGAGGATAATGGTATGATAACAATAATCTTAATAGTATTGAAATACTAGTTAGTGATTATTGGAACTTGTTGATTAAATTGATCCTAGGGATTGGATTGTATGAAAGGTACTTGAATATAGTTCAAGTGTATATAATAACTTAGTTTGGAACTAAGGTTAAGTTATGGGAAGTCTTTAAGGATGACCCAAAGTAGTTTAATGATATGTCAATTCTAGGCATAGGGTTGCTTGAGAATTGGACCTTAATGCATGGTGATGTAATAGAGCCGAGCTCTAGAATGCATGTAAGGTGTAGACTTGGAGTCTATGTATTGTATAGCTAGAGCCGAGCTCTAGGACTTGCGTGGTGATGTAATAGAGCCGAGCTCTAGAACGCAAGGTAAGGAAATTGACCCGAGGTATATGAATTGTATGGTGATGTAGTAGAGCCGAGCTCTAGAATACAATGTCATGTACTAGGGTTGGACTCTAGGAGTTGTCGTGGCTTATAGCCACGGGGTTGGGAATGGTGATTTCCAAATGAAAACGGGCCCACGGGCCGACTACTTGACTTTTATATAAAGTAAGTATATTTTTAAACGGGGTAACCTAGGGTTACAATCATAATGTACTATCACCCTATTTGAGGGTCTTGTGTTTGAAATACTTGTTGTATATCTATTAGATGCCTGCCACACCAGTACTTTATAGCCGTATAGAGTACTGACCCCTTCGGGGGCGTCCCACCACCATTTCAGGTTGAGGCTAGAGCTTGCATCCTGTGCTCGTTGATCGAGTGATTCCTCGGAGAGAAGACTTGGTTCGTGCTTCCTCCATTCTATTTGAAACATTAATAAATTTGCTCATGGATATTTTATTATAGAGCCTGCGTGCTCATGAATAGCCCTGTGTGGCCCTTTCGTTTTAAACAATGTTTTCCGCTGCTTTATGAATTACTTATTATGTTGCTTATGGATGACTTATGTGTGAATGATATTCATGACGCCTTGTATAATATGAATGTTGGACTGCGGTTGACTATTCGTATTGTACGGCGGGTTGTCGACGTGTCCGGGGAGGTCCGGGGCGTGACAATTAAGTTGGTATCAGAGCCTTAGTCCATAAACTTCATAATGAAGTCTCAAAATTCTCTTTTTGAAAAGATTTTGAAAACCATGAGCATAGAAGTTTTGTACTTGGAGAGCTTTTGGTACTTGGGTTGCAAGGTCTCTAATTGTTAAGATGGTACCCTTAGCAATTGGTATGGCGGTGACTCGAGCCAAAATGTGTCTTAAGTACCTATCCGTCAATTGACATTTGATACGAGTCTAACGACTCTTTCCAAATTCTTTCAGAAATGGACCGTGGTGGCAGGATTACTAGGAGAAACCCGACCGGCCATGTACCAGTGGAGACTGGACAGGGCAGTCGAAGGACCTCTAGGGCATCTAGAGGAGCTGGCCGTGGAGGCCGATCACAGACCGTGAGTGACGGTCATGTCGACACGGAAAGTGAAACCTACTGGTCCTATGAGGACTCGACCTATCGACCGGAAACTGAACCGGTTGAGACCCCTTATGAAGGGGATGATGATGATGTAAGTGATGAGGAGGAAAATGGCTCCTTAGCACGGATTGAAGCACTACTTCAACAGTACCACCGTGAGCGTGAGGAGAGGAGGGAACGCCGAAGGCGCCGAGCTGGGCAGCCTTCGGGCGGGGCTTCAAGAGGGGGAAGCCATGGCGACTCTAGGGCCCACATTGAACCATATGGGGGTCGGGGTGATGGGGGTCCAATCATAAGGATCTCCAAATACATCAAAGAGGCACGAGACTTGGGGTGCAAACCGTTCGATGGGACGGGTGACATCTCCGTTTCGGCACAATGGATTAAACGGCTGAATGAGGCAGCCCTGGACATGCAACTCACCCCCGAATATAAACTAAGGGTTGCGGTGAGATTGCTTGAAGGTATGGCATCCAAGTGGTGGGATGGGACCAAAGGCAAATATGGCGAGACCGTCACTTGGGAGAATTTCCGACAGGAATTCTTTGCCCAATATTACTCGGATTTTGAGGTGAACAAGAAAGTGAGGGAATACACCCTTCTAACCCAAGGGGGTAACATGACGGTGAGGGAACTTGAGTACAAGTTCAGGGATCTTGCCGATTACATACCTGAGTATGCTTGTGACGAGAACCGGATGGTGAACCACTTCTGGGATGCTCTAGACTTGGAGATACGTGACAGGGCAACACAATTGCCTAACATGACGTTTGCCCAAGTGGTTGACCAAGGGTTGAAAGGAGAGAAGCAATGGGAAGAAAGGAAGAAGAGAGACGCCGAGGAGGCGAAAAAGAGAAAGTGGGAGAGTCATGGCTCCCAAGGTTCCAACAAAAAGGGGAACCACGGAGGAGGATCTTTCCGGGCACCACCGCCACCATATAGGGGGAACCAAGGCCCGAGTGGGCAAGGCGCGAGGTCACAAACCTCAGTGGTAGCTCGTTGCAACAATTGCAAGAAGAACCACTCCGGTAAATGTCGCGACCCCCCTAGATGTTTTCAATGCGGGGATGCCGGGCATTTGAAGGCACATTGTCCACAATTGAGTGGGGCAAGGACATCGGGACCGAGTAGCGGTCCGACGGGTACACGGAATCAAACCGGGGCTTCTCAGGCAAGCCGGGGACACGGGGGGGCAAGTACAAGCAACGCGCCATCCGTGAACCAAGGGAGGACCCAGGCTAGGGTCTATGCGATGACGGAGGCGGATGCTCAAGCTAACCCGGACTCCGTCGCAGGTATTGCCTCTCATATACTAGTGTTTTATCCTTAATTAGTCCATAAATTGAGGATACTAATCGCTAGGATCATTGCACGAGGTTTTGGGGTCGAACCGGGGGATTTCGGGCAACTTCAGGCGGCTGGGACCCAGGCACGATCGTGCCTAAGGCAGACACGATCGTGCCTCCAAGTCAGTAGCTGCCCAGGAAAATTCCCAACCCAGGCACGATCGTGCCTAAGGCAGACACGATCGTGCCTACAAGGCAGTAGCTGCCCAGGTGTTCCTTCAAACCAGGCACGATCGTGCCTAAGCCAGACACGATCGTGCCTCCAAATCAGTGGCTTCCCAGGATTTTTCCAACCCAGGCACGATCGTGCCTAAGGCAGACACGATCGTGCCTCCAAGGCAGTAGCCCCAGGGCGTTTTCCTGAGCCAGGCACGATCGTGCCTACCCCGGGCACGCCGTGCCTGGCACCCAGATTGCCGAAACCCGATTTTTTTTCGCATCGTTTTGCGACGTTAAGGCCTCTTCTTGATCCCTAACGTGCGTGTGAACATTGCGACCTTCTATAAATGAGTAGGGAGGGTAGGAAAGATGTCTTACATGGTTCATGAATGTAGGGACACTAAAGATTAACGGGAAGGATGCACGAATCCTTATCGATACCGGAGCGCAACGTTCATTCGTGAGTGAGGCGTTTGCCGAGAGCTTAGAGATGCAATCAATACCAATGACACAAACCTTAGTGGTATCAACCCCACTAGGGGAAGACGTTGAAAGAAACAATTACTATCCATCTTGTATGGTGGAAATCGGTGGCCAAACCTTGACGTGTGATTTCGTACCGCTGAGTATGATGGAGTTCGATGCAATCCTAGGGATGGATTGGCTAGAAAAGCATCATGCTAGGGTAGATTGCTACACAAAGGTGTTGGAACTCGAAGGCACACAGGGGGACACCCTACGCTTCGAGGGGGACCGCGGCAAATCAAATAGTTGTATCATATCCGCCGTGAGAGCGAGAAATATGATGAGGAAGGGATGCCACGCATATCTAGCATACGTGGTTGACAAAGCCAAAGAGGAAACGAACGTCGATGATGTGAGGGTGGTTTGTAAGTATCCGGATGTCTTCCCTAAAGACCTACCGGGGCTTCCACCTGACAGAGAGATTGAATTTGTGATCGAGGTCGAGCCTGGTACCAAACCAATCTCCATACCGCCATACCGGATGGCACCCGCCGAACTTAACGAGTTGAAAACCCAATTGCAAGAGCTTTTGGATAACGGTTTCATTAGACCAAGCCACTCCCCGTGGGGAGCACCGGTTCTTTTTGTGAAAAAGAAAGATGGGACACTTCGAATGTGCATTGACTATCGTCAACTGAACAAGGTCACAATCAAGAATAGGTATCCGTTGCCTAGGATTGATGACTTGTTTGATCAACTACGAGGAGCAACCGTGTTTTCGAAGATTGACTTGAGGTCGGGGTACCATCAATTGAAGATTAAGGAAGATGACATACCAAAGAGTGCTTTCCGCACAAGGTATGGGCATTTTGAGTTCCTTGTTATGTCGTTTGGGTTAACAAACGCCCCGGCGGCATTCATGGACTTGATGAACCGAGTATTCCATAAATACTTGGATCGATTCGTGATTGTGTTCATAGATGACATCTTGATTTACTCAAAGAGTGAAGAAGAGCATGAGGAGCACTTGATACTTGTTCTTGAAACACTACGGGAGAAGCAACTCTATGCCAAATTTTCTAAATGTGAATTTTGGCTAAAGGAGATTGGCTTCCTCGGGCACGTGGTTTCGGGATCGGGGATTGCTGTTGATAACAAGAAGATAGAAGCCATTACTGAATGGGAGAGGCCAAAGAACGTCAAGGAAATTCGTAGTTTCCTTGGATTGGCAGGCTACTATAGAAAGTTCGTGGAGAAGTTCTCTATTTTGGCATCGCCATTGACGAAGCTCACTCGTAAAGGAGCTAAGTTTGTATGGGATGACAAATGTGAGAAGGGGTTCATGGAACTAAAGAAGAGATTGACTGAGGCACCGGTACTTGCATTACCCAAACAAGGTGTGGGGTACGATGTCTATAGCGATGCGAGCATCCAAGGGCTCGGATGTGTACTGATGCAGAATGGGAGGGTAATCGCCTATGCTTCACGACAATTGAAGAAGCATGAGGTGAATTATCCTACTCATGATTTGGAGCTCGGGGCAGTGGTATTTGCACTGAAGATATGGAGACATTATCTCTACGGGGAGACATGTCACATATACACTGATCACAAGAGCTTGAAGTACGTGTTTACTCAGAAAGAGCTAAACATGAGACAGAGACGGTGGATGGAGCTGATAAAAGACTACCATCTAGTGATAGAGTATCACCCAGGCAAGGCAAACGTGGTGGCAGATGCTTTGAGCCGGAAGAGCTCGTCTGGGGCATTGATAACTAATTTGAGGGCATTAAGAGCCCAACTGGAGGTAACCAGCGATGGTGCCTTATTGGCACGATTTGAGGTGAGACCCACTTTACTTGATGAGATCAAGAAGGGTCAGGAAGCCGACGAAGAACTTATGAAGGTCCGGGAACGCATGCAAGCGGGGCCGGTGGAGGATTTCAGGGAAAGAGATGATGGTCTCTTGTTATTTCGTGACCGAGTGTGTGTACCGTCAGATGATGAGCTCCGAAAGTCCATCTTAGAGGAGGCTCATTCATCGGCTTATGCCATGCACCCGGGGGGCACGAAAATGTACCGTGATTTGAAGGAAAGTTACTGGTGGTCTGGAATGAAGAGGGAAATAGCCGAGTACATCAGTCGGTGCCTTACTTGTCAACAAGTTAAGGCAGAACATCAGCACCCAGCAGGCTTATTGCAACCACTCTCCATCCCTGAATGGAAGTGGGAGCACGTGACTATGGATTTCGTGGTAGGCTTACCACGGACTATCAGGAACTATGACGCGGTTTGGGTCGTTGTGGATAGGCTCACAAAGAGTGCACACTTCTTGCCTATCAACACTACCTACCCACTTGAGAGGTTAGCCAAATTGTATACGGATGAGATCGTGAGGCTGCATGGGGTCCCAGTGACCATTGTATCTGACAGAGACCCACGATTCACATCACGTTTTTGGCCAAAATTTCAGGAGTCTATGGGAACGAGGTTGAAGTTCAGTACTGCTTTCCACCCACAGACGGATGGGCAGTCTGAAAGAGTCATACAGATCCTAGAAGACATGCTGAGGGCTTGTGCATTGGAGTTCCAGGGAAGTTGGGACAACCACTTAGCACTTGTGGAGTTTGCCTATAACAACAGCTATCAGGCAAGCATCGGCATGCCTCCATACGAGGCATTGTATGGGAGGAGGTGCCGAACACCATTATGCTGGGACGAGGTTGGCATGGCCAAACTCGAGGGTACTGAGTTGGTTGAGGTCACCAAATCAAAGGTGAAGTTGATTCGAGAGAGACTCAAAGCGGCTCAGGATAGACAAAAGAGTTATGCAGATAAGCGTCGAAGAACCTTAGAGTTTAAGGTTGATGACGAGGTATTCTTGAAAGTTTCTCCTTGGAAAGGGATCATTCGGTTCCAAACCCGAGGAAAACTTAACCCACGATATATAGCTCCATTTAGGATTATAGAGAGGATTGGAGTCGTTGCATATCGTCTACAGTTGACTCCTGAGTTAGAGAAGATACATAATGTGTTTCATGTATCCATGCTTAAGAAGTATGTGCATGATCCTTCTCATGTGTTGGAGAAGCCGCCCGTGGAGGTACGTGGAGATTTGAACTATGCCGTGCAACCGGTAAGAGTTATTGATAGAAAAGTGAAGAAACTGAGGAGTAAAGAAGTTCCAATGGTTAAAGTCCTTTGGAAAAGTGACCGGGTCGAAGAAGAGACTTGGGAAACAGAAGCTTTGATGAGGAAGCAGTATGCATTCCTATTTGAGTAGAGCTGTGAATTTCGGGGACGAAATTCCTGTTAAGGGGGGGTGAACTTGTGACACCGCTCCCGAAGGTCCTTGAAAATTCGATTTAAAATTCAAAGTTTATGTATTGGATTTCTGATTTCCAAACATTTGTTAAACGATTAATGTTTTACGTAATTAATGACCGATTATTATACTGTTCGAACTCGTATATTAGTATCGGGCTGGCGAATACTCATTTTGGGCCCAACCTGCTAAAAATAGCAAGTATTCGAGAATGGCGTCCTGGATCCACTCGGGAGTGACCCACACGGCTAGT